GAGTACTAGTCATAACATATAAGTAGCAAAATTTTCAATCTTGAGTGCAACTGGTCTATCATAACTTTAGAAGTGGGGGTTTTTCAACTGGCAATTTAAGGCTAAATTGTAAAATATAGTCAGTATCTTGTATGCAGTGACAATAATAGCCACCATCTTTACGAATTGACAATATTAGTCAGCAACTTTCAAAAATTTCGAGATTATTACCCAAAATCCAACCAAATTTGACAAATAATTGCAAAATATAGTCAATATCTTTTTACGCAGTGGCAACAATAGCCATCAAATTTGGTCGGACATGGGTAGTTTTGAAAGTTGTTGGTTAATATTGCCAATTCGTAAAGATGGTGGCTAATATTACCACCGCGTAAAAGATACTGACTATATTTTGCAATTAAACCTGCAATTTAATACAAATAAAAATACTAAATACTATTAATGTTAATTGTTCTTATTTTTTCATGATACATAAAAATCCAATATTTTATGATGCTTATATATTACTTCAAAAATTTTGATTTTATAAGATTTTTAATGACCATATCTGATAAATTATTAATTGACTTTTATTATTAACCTTCATCAAAGTAAGACTTACATTCTGTAACAAACTTGAAGCAAAAGAACATACACTACCAACAAACAAAGCACTTCCGCGTGAGTGGGTATTATCCTTTTGGAATCGTTTCTATTCTCTTTTTTGGAGCTTTGTAGTTTGTTTAGTGTTTTTCGTGTCGTGAGTCGTGTCTTTGGTTTCTACCGTTGCTAGTCTCGGTTATAGGCGGTCTTCTGAATTGTCCTCCTAGTTTATTTAGTTGTTGGTTGTATTATTCAGCTAGGGGCGGTGCATTTGCATATTTGTGCGTTTTTTGATCTATAAAATCTCTATCTTTTCGAGAAAAAAAAAATCCAAAAAAGAAAGACTTACATTCTGTGTATTTTAGTATCACAACTCTTACTGTAAAGAGTACTTTGGAGAATTATCATTAATTTTCATTCCAAATTGCAGCCAAAGAGCTGGGAATTAAAGAACTGATACCAGCCTATCTTGACCCCAAACTCAAGCCTCAAGATTTATCAACTGGTGTGAGCTTCGCGTCTGGCGGAAGCGGATACGACCCTCAAACATCTCAACTCGCGGTATTTACCCATAAAACCATAAATGCTGTGTTGTGAGACGGTCTAATGGTTAAGCGGGTCGACCTTTTCATATACTTTACTATAAAATTGTCACGCTTCTGTTTGTATCATACCATTTTCATCATAAAAGGATTTATTATTTATTGAAAAAGTATTGTGACTAACCAATTGTGTAACCTGTTTTTTCCTTAATGCAGTCAGTGACACCAATATCCACTCAACTGAATCAATTCAAGGAGTACATTACAAAGCTCAAAGCTGTAGTTGGTGAAGAAAAGGCAAAATACATATTAAGCAACAGCATCTATCTTGTGGTGGCAGGCAGTGATGATGTTGCCAACACCTATTTCACAATCGGCACACGACGCGTGCAATACGATGTCTCTTCGTACGCTGATTTCCTTGTTTCCTCTGCTTCCAGTTTTATACAGGTACAAAACCAATAAGGAAATGTTTCTTTTTCCCATGTGAAATGTACAATGACAAACAAATGAACAATATGACAACATGGGACAGGACATATACAAGCTTGGTGCAAGAAGAATAGCCGTTTTCGGTGTCCCACCAGTCGGCTGCTTGCCGGCTCAGAGAACACTTGCCGGTGGCTCCATAAGGTTCTGTGCCGAGCTGTACAATCAGGCTGCACAAATCGTTAACGCCAAACTCTCGACTGCACTTGATTCCCTCACCGGAGCTCTGCCTCAGTCGAGTGTGGTTTACATCGACATTTATAACCCTCTTCTTGATCTCATCATGTACCCTCAAAAATACGGTGTGCAGCCCCTTCTTAATTATTTTTCTTTTGCCACTATATGCTTATTAATTAAAGGGCTTTTTTTCTTTCTTCCTTTTGAAATGGTTTCAGGATTTGAAGTTAGTGAGAAAGGATGTTGCGGGACCGGAGACATAGAAGCAGTTATATTGTGCAACAAATACAGCGGAACTTGTGCGGATGCTTCTAAGTACGTATTCTGGGACAGCTATCACCCGACCGAGAGGGCGTACAAGGTTCTTCTTGATCAAATCATTCAGAAATACATAAACAAGTTCGTGTGACGAAATTAAGTGTGTCATGTTACTGTCATATTTTTCGTGATGCAATACAACTGGAGAAGTGCTTCTAAGCTTCTGGTCAGTGTTTCTCGGTTATAAGCTCAGAGATTTATTTATTTTCCTTTCTTCGTTTTACTTTAAAGCTGAACATTCCATTTAAAGTTGGAATCCATTTGTCGAATGTTGTAACGGATACAGAATGAAAACAACTTATGCGCTTCAGATCGAACGGCAACATCACCATTTTTCCAATTTACATTTGCAAAATAACAACACGACACTTGCACGTTGCTAAAAGCCAGTCAAGTTAAATATGAACACGATGCACACCTTGACATTAGTTTGCCTGTCCTTCGAGTGGGCTACGTACAAAGTAAGCATATCCCCATCAGATAACTGAAGTGTGGGGAAATTACAAGCTGAGAAAACAAAATCACAATTTGTCCAATTTCCATTTCAACATTAACAACACAATACTTGGGGACAAGTTAGCATTTAATAGCAAGATCACTATCTGTCCAATTTCCATTACAACATTAACAACACAACACTTGAGAACAAGTTAACTCGGATGCACGTCCGGTTAAATATGAACATTACACAATCATAAACCACATCCAAGCAAAGAGATACCCTACACACCAATTCACATCTCCTTCTCTTTTTCGAGCAATGATTTTTTGAACCAAGGTATCCAAACGGACGTTGTTTTCTGATAAGTCCTATACGCCTCGGCCCTGTACTCCTGCTTCAACATCCGATCCTCCACAAGAATCGTGACATAAGCCAAGCACAAGCTATTTATTAAAGCGCCCACAAAACACCACCCGAGATCCAAATTCCATGCGAATAATGCAAGGCCCCACCACCATAACTGCTCGCCAAAATAGTTTGGATGCCGTGAGTACCGCCACAAGCCCCTGTCAAGATTCGGCACCAATGACTTGTTGAGCTTTTTAAGCTTTTCGTTCTTCGTGACAAATTCGTGAAGCTGTGTGTCGGCAAAATAGGCTATAGTAACACCAGTCAAGCAGATTAGTACAGCAATCACATCCCATATATTCATTCGCCCGTCTTTCGAGTGGACTACGTACAGTGGCAAGCATATTCCCATCAAGAAAACCTGTCGTATTCGAAAAAAACAAAACTTATCAAGAAAGCAGAATCGGAAAACAAAACTAGCTATCTATGAAAACCTGTAGCAGCATTAAACGAAAGCAAACTATTCTAGATTTTTAGTTCGTTCGGGCATTTCATCAAACACAGTCAACCAGGTCAACGCATGGGGAGCCAATAAACATCACCTGTTGAGAGAGGTAGACGGCGAAGAAGGAGGCCCACCACCAGTTTCCGCCGTACTGCCTCCGCATATCGCTGAATCTCCAGTCCTCTCGGGCGCCCCACTGCCATTTTTCCCGGCGGAAGTAGCTGTGGGTGAGCCTCGCGGACCAAACCCACGTCAATAGAATCACGATCCCCGATCTCCATGGATTGCACTCCGCCAACGGATGGGACGCGAAGTAATGCACCAGCAGCACCGGTATCACCGTCCAATACAGATCTATCATCTGCAATTCCACAATTACAAATTGAAACGCGAAATTCGAAATTGCTATAAGATTAGAAAGAAAAAATCACGAACCCAGTGGCTGGACTGGAGCTGGCCGACGGCCCAGAAAAGGAAGTTGACGTTGAGGAAGAAGAGGGCGTTGGCCAGGAGAAATGGGTGGCGGTGGCACCACGACCAGAGAGGGGAGAGGGAATCTGCATCGGCGGCGGAGGTGAGGCGGAGGAAGTAAAGGTAGAAGAGAATGGAGGGCAGGGGGGCGAGGAGCGCGACGGCGGCGTTCCGGAGGTTTTTGCTGCGAGTGTTTGTGCTGAGTGATGCCATGGGCGATGGTGGGAGTTGAGAAGAAGCCGAACTATGGAGGTCTGGTTTTATAGGCCCGCCCTTCGTAGTAGTAATTGCTCCTACTAATTAAGGGGGTGATTGTTTATAAAATAATTACTCATTTTTATTTCAACTCAAAATCTAACTCAACTTTAACTCAACCCCACTATCTTTAATATTATTTATATAATTAAATAATACAAACCAATTATTCATACACATCACATCAATTTTAATTCACTATTCATCCACTCACATAATTTTAACTACCTATCATTTCCAATCATTATCTCTTACTTTTACATCAAATCAATTTTAATTATTTTATTTTAAATATTATTTTAATACATTCTTAAAATTCCACTACAACTAATCATACCACCTTTTTCAAAATTAACTATAGTTAACCAAAATAACTCAATTTGAACAAATTATTACATAAACAATCGAGCCCTAAAGCATCACGGCTTGTACTGATTTATCACTTGTTTAGTGTTACGGCTCATAACAATTATTTAAATCAATGGATAAATTGAGTATTTATCATGGTTTTTATAATAAGTCAAAATCTTTTTCGCCCCGTTATAGATCTATTCTTTCTTTTTCACACCGCCACATCAAATAACTTCTTTTACACCCCAAAACTCACAAAATGCTATGCGATATTACACTCGCATGTCCAAAGGAACCAGCGCATATCCAATCGACCGCATAATTTATGACTATGCATAAACATTTCGCATTTTTTTAATCGCATATCCACATCAAACGCATAATTTATAAATGTGCGAACATCTTTTGCATTTTTAGTAATCGCATATACAAATCGATTTGCAGCATAATTTACGATGATTATGCGCCTTCTTTTCGCAGGGCTATATCAACCTTGCAACTTTATGACCGCGAAAATATTTCGCATCTAATTCGCATAGTTTGTTGAATACGCATTTTCTGGTAATTGCATATCCAAGTCAATCGCATAATTTACTAAATATGCGAAACAATTTCGCATATATCCTCCGAATAATTGACAATTATGTGATAATTTTTTCGCTCGCATATTTAAGAATCGCATAACCAAATCGAATAAAGCATATTTTTTTGACGATTATGCGCCATTTTTTCGCAGGGCCATATCGACCTGGCAATTTTACGACTATTCGGAATTCGTTCGCAGATCTTTCGCATAGGTTGCGCACCTCATTAATTGACTGCTTTTTCACAGGTGAGGATTTGGTCTCTGCATTTATCATGCAGGCAAAAAAACAGTGATCTCTAACAATTTAACGTCTGCACCATTCATCTACTGCATTTTTCTGTTTCTTTTTTTTAGTTCTTTTTGTTGTTCACTTATTTGAATGGCTAGCAACCGTGTTCGAGTAATGGTGCACTTTGGTGGTTCGTTTTGCGAGGGTTCATATCTTGGTGGAGTGGCAGAGCTGATGAGAATAAATTACGGCCGACAAATATATTCTGAAGTAGTTTCTCGTGCTCAAGCATTATTGAAGGTCGATCCTTGTAATTTTGAGTACATATTGTGGGCAGTATTTGATGGAAGGGAACGAGTTGTGAAGATGAAAATCGAATCCAGTGAGGATATCTTAGAGTTGATTGAAGAACAAAGAAATCCCAACATTTACGTGGAGTTGGAGAAGCGAGTAAATGTAGGGATTCCGGGGACGGCGAAACAAAGCTTCACGCAAATGATGGCGTCCCAAGGTGTATTTCCAAGTTCTTTTGGTGTTGGTAGTTCTGCATTTTACCACGAGGCCCCATATTTACATCAAGCAGACCCTAGTTCATTTACACATACTGGATATCCTCGGGGCGCTGATGATCAAACCTCGGGTTGTTCGAACCAACCAGGTCATTCTCGTGACGATGACAATAATGATGACCAAACAAACACGCACAATGGTGAGTCAGGCGACGAAGACAAAGAGGTCAATGAGAAGCAAATGTTCGTAATCCAGGTACAATTGTCGAAATCGGAATTGGGTTGACCTGCACACATCACACATATCCCATAATAATCGCACAATTGAGTTGATTGCGCGTTTAGCATAACATGTCCCCATAATAATCGCACAATTAGGTTGATTGTGCGATTCGCATAACATGTAACATAATAATCGCACAATTAGGTTCATTGTGCTATTCGCATAACATGTAACATAATAATCGCACAATTGGGTTGATTGTGCAATTCCCATATCATATCCCATAATAATCGCACAACTGGGATGATTCACCTAGTCTTCAACCGCATAATTAACGAAACGTATATCCAAATCGAAAGCCGCATAATTTACGACTATCCGCCATTTTTTTCGCATATCCATATGGACCGCATTGATTGATTGTCTGCACCGCATATCAAAATCGAAAGTGTTTCGCATATTATTCGCATACGTTACGCGCCGCATTGATTGATTGTCTGCACCGCATATCCACATCGAAAATGCTTCGCATATTGTTCGCATAAGTTACGCACCGTGTTGATTGATTGTCTGCTTTTACACCTAAAAAACAATGAGGATTTGCATGCTTCCTCATTTAGTTGTTGAGTTGATGTATATCTACCTAGCCTTAAATGCTATATGTATTCATTAACCTTTCATTATCTTTGTTGAAGAGGTGACCTTTCACTTCTCAAAACCCTATTTTTCCATCGCAGCCAAAAAAACAAAAAAAAAAAAAAAAAACCAAGGAGGCCCACGTTTGCAAAAAAAAGAATAGAAAGGATTTCACCTTATGAAAAGATCGCGATCCGCTTCCGTGGCATGGACTGGACAGAGGAGGAGGAACGTATTTGCTACCAAGTATTTTTCAAATGGTGTCGTCAGAAGGCAGACATACACAAAGGCCATGTGTTCAATTCCTTGTGGGCAGAAATTTCAATAGTCCTGAACCAATGCCTGAGTTATGCATTTAAGAGGGAGTTTACTATTTCTCAAGTCTGGCGAAAGATTCAGCGACTCAGAAATTATTTCGATGAATTTACTGCTTTCCTGATGATTCCAGGCGTCCTCTTGTGTCGTGATACAGGCTTTGCTAGGGTTAACCACATGTACTGGGTGTATGTGGGGGAGGAGGTAAATTGCATCTGATTTTTTATTTTAGTTTGTTCAAGCATGCATTTTTGTGACGCGGCCATAATAACCTAAAAAGATTTAAATTTATTACACATGATACCGACACTCAGGCATTTTTCCGTTCGGAAGGATTCCCTTGGTATGGTGAGTGTTACGAGGTTTTTACCGAGCGCAACGCAGCGGCGATAGACTTGGAAGTCATCGATCTCGACCCTTAGAATCCATTGGACATGTAATCAAAAGTTGTTTGGCTTATTTTGTTGGACTGACTGCAGTAATAATAAATATTTTTTTCTTCTGTCAAGTAAGTGTTTGTTTAATCATGATTCATATGTCAAAACAAAACAATATGTTGCATGGACAATTAAACGATTAATGTCCGTGAACAGAGTTTTCCCAGCAAAATCAGCGACAATATTCGAAGGGAAAATATTATTGAAAGAAAATTCGCAGAACTGTGAACAAAGTGCGATGATCGCATTGTTCTCGCATAACGTAATGAAAAAAAAAAGTAATTTATATTTTTTAATCGCATATCCAGTCCAGATCAACCGCATCATCATTTAGGATATGTGGAAAACTGTCGCGTAATTAGATTATCGCATATCCAAACTGCATCATTTATGAGTATGCGACTATGCGGCATATGTTCGCATAATTTACGATTCGCATATCCAAATCTATAAGGCTTAGATAACTATAGCTTATGCGTTATGTTTCACATAGTTACGAATCGCATATCCATATAAAACTCGCATAAATGTATCAATATGCGAACACATTTCGAATAGTGTTACGCACCGCTTTTTTTCACCTAATAGTTCTTTTTTTTTAATTTATTAATTTAGTCAAAGAACAAGAATTTTCCGAAAATTATTATTTACCAACTCTCCAAAAATATACGACGTTTGTATGTCGCAATTTTGTACGTCGCAGAATAAAAAATTTACAAAAACAAACATAAAAAAATATATTAGTCGTTATTGTAATAGTGTTATGCGGTTTTTAAGCGGAATTGTTTCGAGTAATAATTGCAGGTTCATTGACCTAGTAGTAGTAGTCTTCAATTTATTAATAATTTAGTCACAGACCAAAAACTTTTCAAAAACTTTTAATTATTTACCAACTCGGGCACTAATATGCGACGTTCGTATGTCACAATTTCGTACGTCGCCGAATAGAAAATTTACAAAAACATAAAAAATTAAATTTTATTCGTTATAGCACGAGTGTTATGAAGTTTTTATGCGGAATTGTTTCGAAGTAATAATCGCAGGTTCATTCATCTAATAGTATTCTTCAATTTATATATAATTCACAAACAAAGAAATTTCCAAAAAATATATATTATAATTAATTATGCGTCAATTCTGCGAATGATATGCGACGTAGTCTTAAATTTATATTTAATTCACAGACAAAGAACATTCCAAAAAATAAATATTATAATTAGTTATGCACCAATTCTGCGAATGATATGCGACATAGTCTTAAATTTATATTTATTTCACAGACAGAACTTTTCAAAAAATAAATATTATAATTAATTATGCACCAATTCTGCGAATGATATGCGACGTAGTCTTAAATTTATATTTAATTCACAGACAAAGAACTTTCCAAAAAATAAATAAATATTATAATTAGTTATGCAACAATTCTGCGAATGATATGCGACGTAGTCTTAAATTTATATTTAATTCACAGACAAAGAACTTTCCAGAAAATAAATATTATAATTAATTATGTACCAATTCTGCGAATAATACGCGACGTATGTATGTCGCAATTTTACATCGACTCAACTACTTTACATCGAAAAAACTTTTATAATATAAATTATGCACCAATTAGGCGAATGATATACGACGTATGCATGTTGCAATTTTACATCGACTCAACTAC